CGCTTGAGCGAGTCTATCTCGCTCGAGCGATAGTTGATTCTGATCGATTATATTTTCGAAATGATCGATCATATTTGATAATTTTTTCAAATAATTAATTATAATCGATTAGTTTTCTAAATTATTGATTAGAATTGATTAGTTTTTCAAATAATAGATTAGAATTGATTAATTTCTAAATATATACTAAAAAAATATAATTAAAACTATAAATTAGTTAAGAATATTGACTATTGTAAAGATAAAGTAGAAACATGGGAGGAGATGAGGATGATAATATAATGATAGAACTTACAAAAATGTAGAATTGAGAAGTTTGAAACAAATAAAAATAAGAAAATAGATATTTAATTACACTTTTAATAAATTTAAGATAATACTAGTTTTGATTTTTATTTTTAAATATTTATTTTAAATATTTAAAACAGAGAAACTATAATTTTAGTTTCTAGCTATCTGAATTTAAAGAATTAAATTTATTATTATTTAATCTTTTAATTTGTAGAATTAAACTCAATATAATTGTTAAAAATACTTTGTAGAGGCATTTGAGAAAGCTTTTGTCAAAATACTTTGTTTTTAATTGTTAAAAACATTTGTAGAGGCATTTTGCAAAACATAATTGAGATGATATGATAGCGGTTCCACCTTAACCGCTATCTAAAGTGTAATTAAGATAGCGGTTAATGGTTAACTCGCTATTAGAAGTGCACTTTTAAGAGCGGTTCTCGTGGAACCGCTATCTAAAATGTATTTCGCTTGAGCGACAATATTCTCGCTCGAGCGAAACTCCAACTGCATGCAATTCGCATTCTCGAGTTGTATTTCGCTTGAGCGACACTACTCGCTCGAGCGAAATACGATCCTGATCGATCATAACTTGAAATGGCCGATCATAATTGATAGGATATAATAGCGGTTCCTCATAACCGCTATCTAAAGTGCATATTAGGTATTCGAGGTGTATTTCGCTTGAGCGAGATTACTCTCGCTCAGCGAAATCCGATTCTGATCGATTATATTTTCAAAATGACCGATCATATTTGATAATTTTTTCAAATAATTAATTATAATCGATTAGTTTTCTAAATTATTGATTAGAATTGATTAGTTTTTCAAATAATAGATTAGAATTGATTAATTTCTGAAATATATACTAAAAAATTATAATTAAAACTATAAATTAGTTAAGAATATTGACTATTGTAAAGATAAAGTAGAACATGGGAGGAGATGAGGATGATAATATAATGATAGAACTTACAAAAATGTAGAATTGAGAAGTTTGAAACAAATAAAATTAAGAAAATAGATATTTAATTACACTTTTAATAAATTTAAGATAATACTAGTTTTGATTTTTTTAATATTTTTTTAATTATTTAAAACAAGAGAAACTATAATTTTAGTTTCTAACTACTGAATTTAAAGAATTAAATTTATTATTATTTAATCTTTTGATTTTAGTATTAAAATTTTAAATTATATTTTATTAAATTAAAATAATTACAATATATTTTTCTATTTTGAGAATGAACAATATAATTAAACTCAAAATTGACAATATTATAATACATTTTTGAACTGTTTTGGATTAATTTCTTTTTCCTAATTTTTGATAAAGTTAATTTTAATATTTAAAAGTATTTAACATTTTGAATTCTGAAAGGTTTTCTCTAATAGAAAATTTAAAAACATAATATAAAAAAAATAGTTAATATAAGTTTTCAAGTTATTTTAACTGATAAAAATAAGTTTTAATCGATTAAAACGTCTGCAGTAAATTGTTTTAATCGATTGAAACTAGATTTAATCGATTAAAATAGTTATGATCGGTCATAATTGCATTCTAACCGATCATAATTGAAACCATATAATAGCGGTTCAACGGTTAACCGCTATCTAAGCGAAGTTTTAAGAGCGGTTCCTGTGTAACCGCTATCTAAACCAGTATCTCGCTTGAGCGACAACTTTCTCGCTCGAGCGAAACGCCCCGCACAAAATTGGTACTCTCAGGTTGTATTTCGCTTAAGCGAGCCTAGTCTCGCTCGAGCGATAATTGATTCTGATCGATTATATTTTCGAAATGATCGATCATATTTGATAATTTTTTCAAATAATTAATTATAATCGATTAGTTTTCTAAATTATTGATTAGAATTGATTAGTTTTGCAAATAATAGATTATAATTGATTAATTTCTAAAATATATACTAAAAAATTATAATTAAAACTATAAATTAGTTAAGAATATTGACTATTGTAAAGATAAAGTAGAACATGGGAGGAGATGAGGATGATAATATAATGATAGAACTTACAAAAATGTAGAATTGAGAAGTTTGAAACAAATAAAATTAAGAAAAATAGAGATTTAATTATACTTTTAATAAATTTAAGATAATACTAGTTTTTAAACCTTTTTCTAATATTTGTTTTTAAAAATATAATATCATTTTTAATATTTTATAGATTTTATATTTATATATTTATAAAAGTAATTGGATTAAATTTATTATCCTCTCATATATTATTATACATTTAGCGTAATTTTAGTTTATTTAAAAATTAGAATACAAATATACTATACCAATATACCATTATATTATTTTCATTGTATATAAATTACAAAATTAATAATTTGTATACTATACTATACTAACATATTATTTGTATACTATACTAATAGTATAATATACTATATTATAATATTATTTGTATACAAAATTAATATCTTTATATATAAATATATAAATATGGAAATATATAAATATATGTAAAAATATAAACATATAAATATATATAAATATGTAAAGATATAAACATATATCTTTAATATTTTGTAAATGTAAATATAATTTATATATATTTTTAAATCTTTTTCTAATATTTATTTTTAAAAATATAATATTATTTTTAAAATTTAATATATTTTTTTCAAATATATAAATATATAAATATATAAATGTATAAGGATATAAATAAATATATAAATATATCAATATATAAATATATCAATATATAAATATATCAAAATATAAAAATATAAATATATAAATATATAAATATATTAATATATAAATATATCAATATATAAATATATAAATATATATAAATATATATATATATATATATATATATAGATATATATATATATAGATATATATATATATATATATATATATACAAATATATCAATATTATCCCCTCATATATTAATATACATTATTAGCATAATTTTAATTTAATTAAAAATTAGAATACAAATATACTATACTATACTAATATACCATTATTTGTAGATTTTATATATTAAAATATATAAATATATTTTTATTTATAGATTTTATATTTATATATTTATACTGATATACATTTATTTATATATAAATATAATTTATTTGTAAGTTATTATTAAAAGATCCTAAGTAGTTCGATGGTTGGAGTTTCAGCTCTCCAACTCTAAGGTACCGGTTCAATCTTGACAATGACAATAAACCACCTAATAATAAGTTAAACTTCTAAAAATTATAATAAAATTAAGAGATAGGGGAAATAAATATAAATAAAAACTTAAATAAGCAAAATATAATATAATTAAGAGATAGGGAAAATAAATAATAGATATAATAAAAGTGTAAATAAATAAAAAGAATTAAATTTGTTATTGATTAACTTTTTCATTGATTTAGTGACTGATTCAATGACCGATTTGGTTATATATAATCGACACCTGAATCGGTCATCGATCTGCCATCGATCTACATCGATTCGGTCACTAAATCGGTCACTAAATCGGTCATCGAATCGGTCACTAAAATCAGTGACCAAGGAAATAGTGACCGATTCCAGTTGGTCACTATTTCGGTCACTATTTTAATTAGTAACCAATTTTGCAGATTTAGTGACCGAATTTTCGGTCACTATTTGATGTTTTTCTTGTAATGTTTTTACTAGTGCATCGAAAGATTGTTGAAGACAGTTAAGAAATAAGTTCCGTAGAATGTCCAAGTTACGAGTGAATGTGTATCAACAAGGTAAAACAGTTACAAGAGAATAACTATTTGAGAGATTTTGATTCGTAATTTTGATTTTATTAGTTTTATGGTTGCTTTTGCGGTTAAAAAACATAGTATATATAGAATAAAATAAAGATAAAAAAATGTGATTGTCAAATTGTACAACTTACATTCTGAAAAAACGTTGTGAATTAGAAACAAACATTTTCAATGAAATTCTTTGCAATTTGGATCGCCACTTTAGTTGATTTTCTCTATCAAATTATGTTTTATCTTTGGTAATAAGTTAGATTTATTTTTATGTTGTTTAATTTCCTGCACATTTATTTTTTAGTAGTTTACTTTCAAAGTTCTTTGTTACTTTTGCAAGTTATTTTAAATGTTTGAGATCATATTAAATATAAAAATTGAATGCGAATAATCTTTTATTGAAATCCACTGTGTATTGAACTTTAAGTCAAAATAGAAAAACCCACATAATATTTAAGTAACTCAGTACGTAAATTATATTAATTATATCAAACAACGAATTATTTACACTAGAAAGAGTGATTTATCAATGAGAACCAATAGACCATATTCAGGATGAAATCCTACAAATTCTAGAACTTCCTTCGCATATTCCACTTCTCTATAATTCAAAAGGCAAGCTATGTCTAAAAATGTTTCCTTTTTTGTATCATCCACCTGATCAAAACTTATTCGCAACACATCCATTATATCTTTACTTTTGTAATCTCGTAGCCTAGCCAATGCACTTCTCCACTGTGAGACACTTGGACCAAACAAGAAGAGCCTTATACTTCAATTGCCAAGGGATGGCCTTGCACATGTGATATTATCACGTTTGCATACTCTTCATAACCACTCTTTACATAATTACTCATGAAAGCATGATGGTAAAACAGTGGATCAGCATCTATGAGATTCAATGGCCGAACTTGGTAAACATAATCTACTCCATGTGTCCTCAATATATGTTCATCCTTGGAAAGTATGATGATTATGCTTCCTCCACCCAAGCTTTTCACGTAACAAATTCTCTTTATTCCCTGTAAACATCTTTAGTTGTCCAACATGATCAACGTTATCCAGAACACTAAGAGCCCTACCATTGCGTATCCTACTCCATACCAAAGATGTTCCCTTGGAAACATTGAAAATTTCTAATTTTTTTTTTTCATTTAGACATTGAGAAAGTAACTGCTTATGTACTCCTAATGGACTAGCATCTTGATAAATTTTCATATACCACCCGTTCCACTAATTCCAACAACATGAACATCTTTAAGAGACTCCAATCATAAAATTTTTGATAATACTTCAACACGCACTAGTACAAAATGGGTTTTTTACGTTACCAAGATAACGTCAGATCCAAAAATAACCGACTTAAAAACAACATGATGGTAATTTTGTAAATAGTGGACTCAACTTTTACGTCGGACCTAGAAGGGATTGACCTAAAAGTCGCTTTTTACGTTAGATATATAGTGGTCCGATGTAAAACACGAGTTTTACGTCGGTCTCTTCTAGGTCCGACGTAAAAGTCGCATTGTTCAGTGCCAATTTTGTAAATAGTGGATGTGAATTTTACATCAGACCTAGAAGGGACCGACGTAAAACTAGTTTTTTACGTCAGTCCCTTCTAGGTCCGACGTAAAACTCGCATTTTATTTTTCCCAGCGTCACTTCTTCATTTTGCACAACAAGGGTTTTTGAGGACCACGACGACAACGATGATGACCAACTCCTCTCAAGTGAGTGACGGAAATACTTTCATTATGTCTCATTTGTGGTGGTGAACATTTCTCTCCGATTGAATTCGAGTTTTATAACATTTTGTATATTTGAGGTTAGTGTTTTATGTTTCTTGTCTCCTCTTTTATGTTGAAATTGAATGTTTCCACTAGATTGTTATTGATATTGAACTGTTGTAGTTAGTGTTCTATGCGTTTGAATCCTACCTTTTTGTTGTTGTCGTTGTAATTTGTATATTGGGGGTTTAGATTGTTGTTGTTTTGTGTATTAGGGTTTTAAGATGAAAAGAAAATAGAAAATGTTCGAAGAAAGATAACTTTTGACTCAGATGTCGGATTTAGACGCACAATATATCAAAACCAAGAGAAAAAAGAGAAGAAGAGAGGTTAAGTTCATTTGTTAAGATAATACACAAGATAATTGCTATTAACATTTATTAAGTTCATTTACCTTTATGTTTATTATATGTTAACTGGAGTCAAATTAATGTTTCAGGTATTTCAAAATTCATCCATCTCCACTATCAGAACATGATATTACACAGATTAGAGAACAAAGAATAAGGTTTTTCGTTCAACATTTCTAGTTTGTTTTGTATTGTTTTTGTATTGTATGTTATTGTTTATTTTGTATTGTATGCTTGTATTGTTTGTATGTTTTGTATTGTATGATATCTGGACTTGCTGCAAAAAAAAAAAAAAAAAAAAATTTACGTCGGACCAGAGGCATACCCAACATAAATTTACGTCGGTTACCTCTAGGGTTTGACGTAAATTTATGTCGGTTGACCCCAGGGTTTGACGTAAATTTATGTTGGTTGCCCCCAGGTCCGACATAAATTTATGTCGGTTGCCCCCAGGGTCCAATGTAAATTTACGTCTCCCGTATTAACATCAAACTTATTTTTGACATAAAAAAGTCAAAATAATATACGTAAAAGCCTAATTTTATACTAGTGACCATCCCAACTAGATTTTCATGCGGAAGGAATGAAATTTTATGACCCAAAATATTTATTATATTTTTAACAACTTTTTTAATCTCTACATATCGTGGCTTGAGATAAAAGATGAATTTAAAAGATGACAAATCATCGCCCACGAAAATACACTAAAATATTTAGGGTTCCGTGTATATGTATTTATAATATATGAAATATATCCGGTGTAGATATGTCTTCCAATATTTTTATTCATGTACTTATATACTATATATATAGAATAAAAATATGACACATATTAACAATATTTCAATTATAATTAATTAAATCAAAATAAATTTAATATTTTTTCTCTTATTCTAAAGAATAATTAAAAATCCCTTAATACCTAAATTAAAATAAACCTAATATCTTCGTCTTTCCTAGACTAGGCATCCCACTATTTTCAACACCATGGACATCATTAAGAGACTCCAAGTTTGATAATTCCTCGACACGAGATTCCATCCCAACTAAAATAGGGATGGGGACCGACCTGTCCCTATCCCGAGTTTGATGAAGAAAAACTGAGTTGACTGGAGGCGGATGCGGGGCGGGTTCGAGTTTTCCCCACTTTAAAAAGTCGGGGGTGGGGGCGAGGATGGGTAATGCAATCCCCACCCCGGCCTCATCCCGTCCCCACCCCGACTTTATATTTAAATTTAAATTTTAAAATATTAATATTTTAAAAGTATTTCTTTTTCTATTACATATAAGATCATTTTTTTATATTTCACCATTTTTACTTTTCTTCTACCAACTTTTTAATTCTTTTGTCTTTTTTAATTTTTTATATCAATTATTTTATTATATTATTCTCTTTCTCTTACCTTGTTTAGTTTTTTACATTTCATTAATCTCTTCAATCAATTTGTTTTATTTTTCAATCTTTTTAACCAATTTAATGAACACAAAGTTAATTTTTTTCTACTTCTTTATCTTTCTCTAAATATTTTACATAAATCTTAGTAGTGACTAATATTATTTTATTTATAATTTATATTTATTAGGTTTTATTATGTCATATTTTTTTTATCTTATTATTCTTATTTGTTATATATCAAATTTTATTTTAATAAAATAATTATATTTTAAATTATTAAAAAGAATTGATAATTTAAACTTTTATTACTTCAAACTAATTAAATAAGAATTAACTTTTTAAATATTTCTTTATAAACTATATATTTCATATTTTTAAATGACAACATAAAAATGAATTAATTTATATATGTAATCAAATGTTTGAATACAATATAATAATAATAATAATAATATAATAGTATTATAATAATAATAATAATAATATTATTATTATTATTATAAATATTCTATATTTGTATAAAGAAAAAATGATTAAATATTTCTTTTACATACATATTTTGATATAAATATAATAAATTAAAATACATATTTAATTAATAATAATTACAAATTATAAAATTATCAATATTTATTTATGTATAAAAAATACATAAAAATAGTAAAATTAGTTTATTATAAATATAATTATATTTTTAAAAAATAATATAGATTGGGAACGGGCAGGACGGAGAAACCCGAAATCCAACGGGACTGGGGATGATGATTTATTTTTTAACCCTAGAGGGATCTGGGCGGGGACGGTTAAAAAAGTTGGGGATGGGAATCGGGATCGGGATCGGGGAGGCAAAACCCGTCGGCCGCCCCGCCCTGTTGCCATGCCTAAACTTGATTATCAACAAAATGCACATGATAACTTTTACCCTTTTTAAATTTGGATCCATATGGGTGTTAATTTTTATCTCTTCAAACTAAGCTCTAGTTTAAACAGATAGTAAATTAAAAATACACATGACTACATTGGGATCTCATACCCGAAGGAGCACATTTGAGCCTACCTTACACATTAGGAAGTATACTTGGATAGACTCTTTTTCAAATGTCAAATTTTTCCAGCCACACTCAAGGGCATCGAATTCTAATGGTATCATGAACTCTTAAAGGGATCCATCACTTACTCTAATGTCTTAATGAGGAAGCTAAGAGCCTGATTTGCCACAAGCCAACCCCATACGGTTGACTCAACGACCTTCAAAAGCATTAGACAAGGAAAAAATGAGTCACCGCGAAAGTTCCTAGAGAAGTTTGCAATATTAGCATCATCATACCAGATTTAGAACCAATTGTCACAATACACATTATGATGACCGACCTCTAAATTGGACTATTTCTACAGAGCTTATACCTCAACAAGCCAAAAGATATGGACAAATTAAGAATGCGAGTCTCGAACTACATCCAATTGGAATAAAATCAATAGTGCAGAACGAACATTTTACATCTCCTATTTCTCGTCAGATACAAAAATACCTGACTTAAAAAGAATGTGGTGACATTTTTGTAAATACTGGGTGCAACTTTTATGTTGGCCCCTTTGAGGTCCGACATAAAAGTTGCGTTTAATTCTCATCTAGGACCATTTCTTCGTCTCACGCAGCAAGGGTTTTTGAGGACAACGACAACAATGACCCTTTTAACACCTTGCAAGGTATATTTCGACCATTGTGAGTGACGAAAATATCAAGATTGTGTCTCATTTGTGGTAGTTAACGTTTCTCTCCAATGGATTCGAGTTTTAGAGTGTTTTTGTGTATATTTGAGGTTAGTGTTCTATGTCTCCTCTTATATGTTCAAATTGAATCTGTGATTATTTTTTGGGATCTCAATCACGTTATTGGATGAATGTTTCTACTGGATTGTTATTGAAATTGAATTGTTGTAGCTTGTGATTATCTATTTATTCATTTGAGTGCATTTTTTGTTTATACACTACATTTACGTCTCAATCACGTTTTTTGTTGTTTGTATATTATGTTTTTTTAAATATGAATTTTGAATCTCTAGGAGTGAAGAAAATTTATAACATAGGTAGATATGGATTGAAGTTGGATGAATGCACGTTGTATTAGTGAAGAGTACGAAAAGGGAGTTGATGAATTTTTGAAATTTGTTTGTGAAAATGGAAAACTTAAAGGGACATATTATTGTCCATGCGTTTGTTGTTTGAATCCAATTTGTCATGAACTTGGGGATATACATGATCACTTGTTTTTTTTATGGTATTGTTAAAAGTTATACAATATGGACATGGTATGGAGAAATATTAGACATCTCAACTATGTCAACAACAAAAAATTTTGAAGAAGGGATGAATGATAATCTAGAAGATATGGTATGTGATATTGGTGAAGAAAAATTCAAGAAAGGACATTGGTATGATTCTTTGAAATTTGATTTTGAGAAACAATTGTATATAGGATGCAGTTTTATAAGATTATCAGCAACTTTAAGATTGTTTAGTTTAAAAGCAAGAAATAGATGGATTGATAAAAGTTTTACTAAACTATTGGAGTTGTTGAAGGAGATGTTTCCCAAACATAACAC